TATATATATATATATATATATATATATATATATATAAGTACAGCCTTCTTGGCCCTCCCCCCATTGCTTCTCCGAACGTCCACCGACAAAACCGCGGCTATGAGCCACCACCTGATCATTTCCCTAAAACGAATATCTTTTTTATTTGGTAGTCTCTGTTGTTGTTTCTCATTTATCTTTTTCTTCTCCTCTTCTCTCTTTTTCTGCCTGTATTTGTTCGCTCTGTGCTGTTGCTGCTTGCGCTGGTCTTTTATGTTATAACCCCAAGCCCAGCTAATTAATATATCAATTAGCATTTAGGACGCATCTGGAGGGCCATGAAGAGAGTGAGAAAAGGAGCTGAGAACCATCTCCTGGAGAAACGGGAAGGCCTTAGCATGGGGTGTGGGGAGGGCGCAGCAGAGCGGCAGCAGCAGCAGCAGCAAGAAAACAAAGAGACAAAAAAATGGATAGCTTAAGCTAACAAAGAGAAGTAAAGGAGAAGGATAGAGTACGTACACCGTAGGCCAATCCATAGGCAGCAAGATACAACCAAGGAGAGCAGAAATACAACTTAAGAACAAAGGAAGCAAAGACACATACACTAGCATATTTGCAATAGCTTTGGGGCTTAGCTCCGAAGGTCTCCACCCTTCTTCTCCTCTTCTCTTCAAGCAGGAGCGATAAAGCAGCAAACACAAATTAAAAAGAGGAAAACAAATGAAGTCTAACACCCGCATTAATATCTCCACCGACACTGTCAATCCTCGTAGCCAGCCAGGCAACGCCTCCCAATACCGCGAGTCTCTGAGGGGCCGCACAGCCAATACCAATGGGGCTGTTGCTGTTCCTTGTGCTGCTGCTGCTGCTTTTGCTGGTGGTGCTTTTGTTGCTGCCTCCGGTGGTGATGCTGTTTCTGATGCGGCTGCTACTGAGGATGATGATGGTGTTGTTAGCGGTGCTGCAGCTGTATCTGCTCCTGCTGCTCTTGTCGTGTTTGCTGCTGCTGCATCAGGAGGGGGCCTCTTGCTGGGCATGTTGCTTGTGCTGCTGCACAGCCAGCTAGAAGAGCGGCAAGCCTCTGCCACAGCGGTGAGGTAAGGATTAACACCGCCGAGAGCAGCAAAGAAGACTGCTAGCATCAGCGAAGAGAAGATGTCCTCTAGGGGGGCCCCCATAAGCTGGAAGAAGAGAGCCCCCAGAAAAACCCAAGATGCTGAAATGAAGCCAAATGTTCGCAAGCATATTGTATAACCCCCGAGGCAATCTGCAGGCAATTCATAGCCTAAGAGCAGCAAAGTCACAGGAACGCCGCTGCGAGGCACCCTAAAATGGGTCCTTTTCAAACACCACACTATCACTACAGCTTTAAATACAACTCCAAGAAGGCCAATAACGAGCGCTGAAGACACCACATATACCACACTCAAAGGAGGCAGCGTCTCCTCTCCCCGCACATCTTCGGAGGCCTCTTGAAACCAAGGGGGCCTCAGCTTTGCTAACAGGCTGACGTTCAAGACTGACAAGAGGAGATCAACGGCAGCAAGAGCCAAGTGCTCAGCAAAAGGAGAAGAAGATACACACTGCCGCCGTAGAGGCTCCGTGTCGCCTGAACCCTGCTGATGTTCGTTTAATCTGTGACTAACAGAAGAACTATCCTCTTGGCTTTGTCCAGAATCTCGCTTTTGGGAGGTTGGCTGTGGTGTGTGGGGTTCCTGCAACTCCATGATGCCGTTTCAAACCAAGTTAAGCATAAATTTGGTTGGTGGGCGCCGTAGCGGCTACCAGCGGACTTGTGGCGGTGTCAGTGAAGGCCGCTGAACGAATTACAACTCCTGATACTTACATAATGCTAATTAACGTCAAAACCGTTAAAGAAAAGCCACTAAGACGGAAAGCAGCGGGGCAGTGGTGGCAGCATCAGGTCAGAAAGCAGTGCAGAACCTGCACGAGGGCGTCACCAGAAGAAGCACATCTTGTCTCATGAGATCTTCGTTTCCCAATATTTATTCTAAAATACATGCAAAAATAAGTTCAAATAAAGAAGCGAAATGCAACAAAATAGTCAGTCCAGACAGGTAACTTTGCCGTCCACCGCTGCTCGCGGTAGCTGGTTGCACATCGAGAAACCGACGGTAAAGAAGGCTCAGTTGAAAAGGTTTAGTGCATAATCTCTTTTGTTTGACAAGCTAGTATGTATTATTTAAGTTGGCTGAAAGACTTATCTCGTACGTTGTTTGGTTTGCGTTTCGGGGCGGGCGGGCGCGGGCGATGGTGCTGAGGCGGCTTCCCAGACCTGAAAAAGCATTGAATGGCCTTTGATTTGCATTTTTTGCACTAATATTACATTATATTTTCAAATGTTATAAGGGTTTTGTTTCATATATACAACATCTATGGGCATGCCAGCATGTTTATGCTGCAAGCCACCTCTTTTTTCCATTGGGACATCCTTAACGATCAGCTACGCAATTCGTGAACGGCTAGGTGTCTAATAGTTTAGAGAGGAAGTCTTTTCTCTGTTACTCTATAAACAAGAAATCTACACAAAATACATGAAATTGCGCTTTTTAGCGACATCTAATATCAGAAAAGCAGCTCGTATTTGCAAGAAGACAATGCATGTTGCATGTGAGTTAAGGATGTGTGCATGCTAAGGTGTGAGTCGGCTTCTCTTAAATATCTACAGCAACTCTTCAAACACCTTTTTAACATACCAATACAACTGTTATAAAGCCGTACAATTGCGTTTGTGTGCGTGTGCTGTATATAATCCAGCGCGTTGCAAGCGTTTGCTTTTGTTTTCTTTTAAATGAGCAGTATGTTGTACAAACCCCACAGACAAGAGGGAAACTCAAAGGCGTTCCCGTTCAAATTGAGGCGTTCGCCGAGGTACTACTTCATGAAAGAAGAAGCTGGAACAAACAATTTACAGTTCGAAACAATACAGAGAACAACACCAATGACGCAGTCACGTGTGTGTTGATATAGCACTGAATAAGTTAAGTACTGAAAGCTCTGCTCAATGCCATCTTCTTTTCGCTTCCTTTCCGGGGATCTCTTTACTCTACTGCACGTAGAGATGTTCCGCAGTTGAGCCATCACATAGCCCTATATTATTCAAGTCATTTCACCAAGTGTTTCTACTAAACTTTGTTAACAGCTTTCACTGCCACCTTAGCCCTATTGTTCGCTCTGTAGGAGTTTCTTCTCTGCTGACCGGAAGCCAAAGCAGCTTTCTCAGTAAAGAGGTTTCTTGTGAAGTTTTATTGCCCGGAAACTCTCTATTGAACTCCTTGATTAACGCTGCATCGCGGATGCAGGAAATGGTGAAATGCCCGTTAATGTCAGTAATTCTTTTAATCGAAAATTTCCAGTTGCTGGATGAGTACAAAGTTATATCGCCGTTGTATATACAGCCCTCTTGGCTGAATGGCAACACAAGCTGATTTCAGTGTTTCTTTTGTGGAGAACTCGAGAAAAAGAGGTTTGTTGTGGCTTTCGTATTGTTACAAACTCATATGGGGGCATCAGACGGCTGAAGCATTTTTTTTGCTTCTACCTTTGCTTTTCTCATTAAGACGGCGTCATGAATGCTGTACAGACAAGCCCCCCTGCTAAGAGGGTAGTGAATCCTATACCATGAAGCTTAAACCCTGAGACAAAGACTGTTTTGCACTGTGTTGTGCGGAGACGAAGCAGGTTAAGCTTAAAGGGGACCTCTTAGCTTCCGGCTCTGAACACCCAGCTAAAATCCCTAAACTCTAAACCTTTGCCGTCCTAACAAGACCTCACCCCGTTCGAAGTGTGTCAGCTACGGAATCATAAATGTGCCGAGTTGCAAGGAGGGCCCCACCGGGGTCTCCGTTAAGAAGCCTGAAAGGCACACGTGTACATAGACCGCGGCGAACAGAAGGGCGACGGAATTGCCCTTCTTGAGGGAAGACGCTCGCGATGTCGAGAGAAAACCAAAGTGTAACCGGCTGCTGGGCAGCACGCCCCCCACAGTGTGGATGGGGCTCGTGTTTCAAGTACTAACTAACGCACAGAGGAGGCCCAGGGACCTCCCCTCAAGAAGAGCAAAATCACACAGACAGCAGCACTGCCTGTTTCTCTACAGCACGCATGCGGTTCAGAGTCAACATGCGGCGCACCCATACAAATCTGTGTCTCTCCTCCGCGCTGCGCAGCGCGACAGACCCCTTTTGGGCTTCGTTAAGCGTTGCTGCAGGCCTTTCTTCATCTTCAGCTTGTCGGGACACTACCCCAAGTGAAGACACCGGAGCAGACTCACTTAGTTGGCATGATGCGGAATGTACGCACAACCCATGGGGGCCCCCTGCAGCAAATAACCCGGAGCCTTGCCTGCTAGGGGAGTCAGGGCCTTCTCTTCCTCTTCTCGGGGACGCACAACAACCCAAGGAAGTGCTGCTGGGGGGCGGGGCCCCACAGCTTCGCTGCGGGCCCTACCAGGAGCCCCTTGCCCCAGAGGTTCTGTTTTATCGGGGGCGCCGACAGCTGTGCTGCGGTTTCTGGTGTCTTCTTTGGGCTTGTGGAGAGTGAGGGGGCTGGCGAGGGCCCAGGGACCCCCCCCTGGGGGCCCGAAAGGGGCCCCCTTGGCTGCACCTGCAGCTGGGTCGTGGTGCGCTGGGAGCAGCAGCATTCCGTTTGGCTGCCTGCTCGGCAGCAGCGGGGAGTTCTGGATGATCTGCTGCTTCGCGGAAAGGGAGCTGTCTGCGTTGAAGCCGAAGCCACAGGAGTACCCGGCCACAGACAGGAGTTCTTCTCCCAGAGAGGTCTCAAGCTGAGTTGTTTGCTGCTCTACAAAAGGGCGAAACTGAAGGAAACTCTCGGGACTCTTGGGGGGGCCCTCCGCAGGCTGAAACAGAGGGAGGGGAGCAACAATCGGTGGGGGGCCCCCAACAGGGTACGGAAGTGTCGGTGGTAGGGGCCCTCCGGGGCCCCCTTCGTGGCTTGGCGGGACAAACTCGCCATGAGGCAGACTCATTTCCGCCTCCTGCAAACTCGGATTGGTGGAAAGGGGCATCATGGGGGCCCCGTCGGGTGCCCGCGAGATGCTGGCGGGAGCAGGGGGAGGGGGCCCCCGGCCGTCTGTTGGGGCAGCGAAGGGCTGGCAGCAGAAGTAGCTTGCATTGTAAAGGGCACCAGAACTCTTGGATGGACAGGGTCCTGGAGCTGTTGGGGGCCCCTCGGTAGCATTGCAGCTGGTCACCGGCAGGGCCTCATCAGCTGTAGTTGTGACAGCTGAGAAGAAACCCGTATTGGCTTCTGTTGAAAAGGGAGATCTTTCTTTAGGGGAGGGCCTCCCGCACATGGGGCTGTCCGCAGTAGTGAAGACGCCTCTGCATTGCATTAGGGGCAGCTGCAGTTGCAGCTCCGGGGGGCGGTTCCCTGCTGCTGCGTCGGCATCTGTGGCATCTGAGAACGAGGGCCCTCCCCAAGGGATTGAACCATCAGCTTTGCTGCCCCCCTCCGCGTCTGCTCCTCCCTCATCCTCTGGCAGCAGCTCACCTGCATCGCCGTCTCCTGATGTGCCTTGAACCCACGCATGGGCCTCCCCGGGGCCCTTAGGCGCAAAGGGGCCCCCCGAGGCAGAGACGCATCTAGACATGTTGTGCACGCCGTCCCCTTGCAAGGGGCCCCCATGTGGGAAGTAGGACCCCACACCACCGGGGCCCTGACAGTCTCCTGGGGTCCCCAGAAGGGGGCCCCCTCTAGTAGCGTCTGTTGGGGGCCCCCCGCGGGGCACCTTACTCGACAAGGAAGGAGGACGGCGACGCACCTGCTGACCTTGAGGGGATTTGGGGCGGTGCTGCTGCTCTGTCTTTGTGCAAATGGCGCTCCCATCCTTCTTACAAGCCCATTTAGAAGAACCGCTGCCCCGTACAAGCCACGCTGCGATGCAAGCCGCATGCACCAAACACCACCAGGACAAGAAGCTGCTGCAGCAACCACAGTTACCTTGCAGGCAGTCTACTGCACCTCATGCAACTGCAGCGTGCAGCTGCTTCTGTGGACCTTCAACTGCAACAGCAGCAGCACGAGCAGCAGCAGCAACAGCAGTGGAGGTAGTACGATAAGATGTACGTCTTATTGAAATGCCTTACCGGGCTCATCCTCAGAAAGACCTTCTCCATCGCTATCGTGGAGTTGGCGTCCTTTGTCGATGACTTGTCGCAGAAAAGATCTCGCCAGTTCAAACTGGGACTTCATATCTTTTTCGTCCTGCAGCATCCCAGCACCCCTAAACCATAAACCCTAAACCCTAATCCCTAAGCAACGGGCTTCTTTTCTTCCTGCACCATTTACGGCGCGCTGCACGCTGTGCGTCTAACCCGCAAACCCTAAACCCTAAACCGTAAAGGCTACGCGCGTAGACCGGAGGCCCTGCCAGTAGGAGTAGAGGGGCCTCGCTCTCTGTGGAGGTGCTGCGTACGCCTGGGCTATAGGGGAAGAGCTTCATGGCTTCTTCTTGTTCTCCTCTGTACTTGACTTTCCAGAGACCCTGCTGAAAATAAATGCCCCGGACACCACTAAAAGGCTTCTTCCCCACATTAAACCTCTTCGCTCTCCCGCCCTTAGGCCGACTAATCTTCTTTAGTTGCTCAAGTTCTTCAAACCAAGGATTGGCACTGGGGCTAAGCCCCTCGCCTCCGCATGCATCGGGTGCTCGAAAGCCCACATCACCCGACTTCCCCGGAGCCTCCTCCTGGGGGGCCCCTCCTACACGGGGGGCCCCTCCTAGACAGGGCGAAGCACACTCTGGAAGCGGCAGCTCCTGAGCTGGGGGCGCCCCCGCCGGATGGGGCCCTCCTGCAGCGGTGTATGCACCGGCCGAGGCCTCTGGGTTCTTGAATGAAAGATGTGGAGACACCATCGGGGCGGGGCCCTCTGCCCTGTTGTCCCCAGGAGCCGCTACCTTCCCGTTGGTGGGCCCCCCAATTAAGTCATTGCGTGCGACTCGCCGAGGGCCTTGGGGAAGGGGGGGCCCCTCCGAAGGTCCATCGGTGGCCCCCCGCGGCGCCTGGCCCTTCTTAGAAGAGGCCCCCCCACCGGGGCAATCGCTACCCTTTCGCACCTTTGTGGTGTTTTCGCCGCTCTTGGCTGCGTCTTTCCTTTTCTTGCATACACCTGCACCGCCGGAGGCCCGAGGCTCAAGAGGGGGGCCCTTAGCGCTGGGCATACAGCCAACGTCTCCTCCATAAGGGCCCTCCCGTGCAGCAACCCCTCCCGTCCCATGAGCAGCAGCAGCAGCAGCAGCAGCAGCAGCAGACCCTACTGACGCTGGTGCAGCTGCTGCAGCCTGCTGCTCCCGCTCCTCTTCAGGGTTCTTGCCTTGGCTCGCCTCTCCTGAGCTGGGCAAGGGGACCTGCGTCCCTCCGGGGGCCCCCCCGCTGGGGGCCCCTCCCGGCGCCCCCGGGGCTCCCGGCGCTGCAGCGTCGCTGTGCCCGTAGGGTAGGGCGGGGGGCACTTGGGGCGGCAGCGGTTCCTTCATTAGAGAAGCCAAGGAAGTGCATGTCTCCTCATCTGTAGGCAATCGGCTTGTGCGCAAGACGAACTTGCGGGCCCACTCGCACATTAGTCTCGCGCGTTCGTAGCCGTACAGCTGAACAGACAGGCAAACACACAACACCGAGGTGTACAGACACTGCAGGTGCAGATGCTGCTGCTGCTGCTGCTGCTGCATGCCCCATGTGCACAGCAGCAAAAAACGACATAGCCAAATACATCTGAGCAACAACAAACCCACAAGGCTCCGGCAAAAGACGCAGCGGCACAACTGAGAGATGGAGAGAAGAGGGACGTGGGTCCCCCCTCTTGTGCAGTGTATGTGTTGGGGTGTATGCTCAGGTAGGGGGCAAGAAGACGCATCCCTAGCCTTCCTCACCCTGCAAGAGAAAGACTTTTGTTTCTTCGTTCCTTCTATCAACAGCTCCGCTCTCCACGCCTCCTTCTTACGATGAAAATACATCTTAGCCATCACCTCCGAAGGCCGCACCGCTCGGGGACGGGGGGTCGCCTTGGGGGGCCCCCCGCCTCCTTCTCCCTTCTCAAATGCGCCTGAGGGCTGCTTGTGCCCGCTTAGGGGGGCCTGCCGCACGGGGCCCCCATGAGGTGGGGGGCCCCCGGGGGCCCCATGGCATCCCACTGAGACCGACTGGCTGGAGTCCTTGGGGGCGCCATCTTCCTGGGCAACCCCCTGAGCGGCTCCCCCCTTGCTCCTAGGCTTGGGGGCCCCCTTACCTGGGGAGTGCTGTTTAAAGAATTTAGCGGGCCTTGTGCCTGAAGAAGGAGCAGGGGGCCCCCCTCCCTCGACAGTTGAGTCTGCCTTTCTCCTAAAGGTACCCCCACTTTTAGGTGGCCGGGGGCCCCTACTCTCTGCTTTAGGTAGAGGGGGCCCCGCCAAGCCCATAGGCGCATACACCCCACCATTTCCAGGTTGCTGCAAGCCACTCACGTGCGGCTGCTGAGGAGACTGCTGCGGTGCCCGCTGCTGCTGCGGAGGTGGATGCTGCTGCTGCTGCTGGTGATGCTGCTGCTGCTGCATAGGCTGCCACGGTCCCCCACCTGTCGGCCCCTCTGGGCATCCTTTCAGGCCTCCTGAGGGCCCCTGAGGGGCCCCCATGCACATGCCGAAGGGGAACTGAGCAACGGGAGGCCCAGGAGGAGCAGCAGCAGCAGCAGGGGGAGGCTGCAAGGCGTCATTCTGTGCTGCTGCTCCGGGCTGCCACTGCTGAAGATGCTGCTGAGTTGATATATGGGGTACGTCTCCCACAAAGGGCCCCGAGGCTAAGGGGGAGACACCATAAGGGGGGGGCGCCTGAGCAGGCATCATGCAGGGGCTCGCACACCCAAAGGAGACGCCTCTCTCAGCAGAGCAGTCTAGTGAAGGCTGCCATGGAGGCAATTCCCCCATGTTCACAGGGGCATGGGGGGCCTCCCCGTTATGGGGCCCTGGGGCCCCCCCTCCTTGCTGCAGCACTGGGGGACGTTGTTGGTGCAGCTGCTGCTGCACCACCTGCTGGCCTTCGTAGTACAAATGCTGCTGCTGCTGCTGCTGGTGGCGCTGAGGCAGCAGCAGCCAGGGAGGGACTGGGGCCCCATCCGTGGGCTCGGGCTGCAAGGGTACTGGACCCATAGGAGGGCCCCCCTGGTTCATTGGGGGCTGCTGCTCAAGCGGCTTAGGAGAGCAAGAGACAGTTGGGGAGACAACGCCTTGAAAAACTGCCTGGGGGCCCCCCCCTCCCAAACCAGTGCTGTAAGAGACAGGGACAGGGAGGGGCCCCCCCCCGTGCGGCCTCTGCGTGGCGCAGGGCCCGGCTGAGTCTGCTGTTTCCTGCAGGGATGCCATTCGGGTGTCACCTGGCCAGGGGCCCTGCTCAGGAGGGGGGGGCCCCCCTGATGAATCCATGCCTAAAGCAGTGGTTAGCTTCAGCGTTCACAGGGGGAAGAAAAGGCGAAAGGAAATGCATAGGGACCTGCTGCGGCTGGGGGAGCTGCAGCGTGAAGGGGCGGTTCGGCACCGAGCCCTCTTAAAGAGAAAGAAGCAGGGAGAGTAGTGTAGTAGCAACAGCAGCTGCTGGTGCTACTGCAGCCGCTGCTGTTGCTGCTGCTGCTGCAGAAACACAAAGGGGCCTCAAGGGACAGCACGCCTAAGCTCGCGCGCCGGACAAGGGGCAAGGAGGGCGGGCGCATCGGGCTTTATAGATCCTCAGGGGCCTTGGCTTGTGTGAAACATTTAACCCCTTTGCATTTAAACTTATTTAGGCGCACGAGGGAGGAGAAAGAAAGAGACCTCAAGCCCTGGCTAGCTGAGACAGGGCTCCTGCGAGCGCAGCCGACACCGGCAGAGCTGCAAGACAGCCAGTAAAAGGGGGTGTCCTAAGGCAGGCATGAGTGAATTAATGATAGAAATAAACAAAAGAGAAGCATATTGAGGTATTTATATGCCTACGCACTTGTATTAAGGTCAAGGGAAGCCGTGGGCCGTTGGGTGGAGGGCCTGGACAGACGTGCTGCTCTCGCTCTACAACTCCGCAGCCCCTGGAGCGACTGGCTTAAATCTGCAGCATATATTTGCATTTCTTTGTCTATTTATTTGTTTTAAACCATTCTTTTAACTCTAAGAATACAAATAAACGCTCTAACCCCCCCGTCCATGCAATATAGATAACCACACCACCCCAGCTCCTGCCATGGGTCCTCAGTGAGCTTAGGCACACCCGCTGTTCGCCTGTATCCACACTGCGACCTCTAAGTTATTTCAGTGCTATTGCTTGGCCTTTATCCTTCTGTTATTGAGTAAAAACCCTGAATTGTAGATCAATATCATCAGGAGCAGATACGCGTTCGCCCGACTGGCGTAAGACCTGTCGAACAGCACTGTCGGCTCACTGCATCTGTAGACACCGCAGTCTCTATACACCCCAATGTCTGCGCATTATACTGGCTGTGTATAGCAGCTTCTATTTTTGCAAGTAAGGCAGTGTATGCGCAGTGCAGTCAATGTTCTTACGCTGCAGGATGTACACTAGAGAGCATCTGACACACCTCAGCTAGTCGGTACCTTGTAACAGTCTGTACAGTTTGACCTTTTCCTTGCTGACTTTGGTTCGGCTGCATAGTTCTTTCAATGCCCAGAGCCTTTCAGAGGGCCACACTAAAGCTACCCATGCAGCCAACCATGCAGCCAGATCTGTCGGAAGCTGCTCTATGCGTCTCTATTTCAGGGTAGCTTGGCTACTGAGGGCCGGCTCAGTGCTCAATAACTCCATAAGGCGCGGCTTTGCGCATCAAAACGGGGCCCTGATATGCTTGCACTTGGGGCTGCCTTGCAGCAGGAGCTGCAAGGCCCTGTCAATAGATTGCTTAGTAGGGGCTGAGATAGGTTTTGATAGAATTTAAGTGGCTGTGTACACAGTCTGCAAATATGCCTACTTCATCACCCTTTCAAGTTCAGTAACAACAGAGAGCATAGCTCAATTATTCATTATTCTAAGTGGGAGCCTCACAACTTCCCGAAAAACATTATTACTGAAAGAGAGCAGAAGCTTCTTAACATATTATGGAGCCACTGCGAACAGCGCGGTGGCTGACACTCTAACTGAACGCACCAACAACAAGCTTGGGCAGTGCTTGATACTTCATACCTAGAGAAATAATTAAGACAGATTGACGCCCTGAGTATTTTCTTGCTGTGATCTGCGCCCTCCCTGCCTTCGCTTGCATCAGAGCCTCGCCTTACGACCGCTGTGAAGTTGCTCGTTGGCTTCCCTTCAGCGCATATTTTTAACTAGTGGGGGGTACCCGTACTCCAACTTGGCTAAGATGATAGGGTAAAGGCACAGGCCTTTGCCTTTCTGAACAATGGCCAGGCCACCGACTCAGCCTCCTGCCAGGGGATACTGCACAACAGTAGCGGCGGCAAATATGAGGTAGCATTTGCCCTTCCAGTTTGTGTTTCCCTTCTCTGTTTTGGGGGCTCTTACCCCCTTCATATCTTCGTTCTCTTGCGTTGATTGAGCCGTCCCTGGCTGGACAGTGAAAAGCACCTGGGAGCGTAGACTTCTCTGCAGCAACGTGTGTTGCAATACATCAAATCTTACTCATCTTCTCTCTGCGTCAGCATCAACATGGTTTCTGCAACGCCACATCCCTACAAGAGCCTCCAGTAGACTCTGCTGCAGTATACGTGTTACAGTTAAGGAGGAGCCGTTGGTGCGTGCCCTCATCCTACAATTGCTCAGCTGTGGGCGGGCTCAATCGAAGACTCCGGCGTCTCCTGCGTTTTAAAATAAAACCCTACAGAAACAACTGTGGCATTTTAAGAGATGCCCTTCTATATAGGGGTTGGGACAGGCCTCATTCGGGGCTAACTTGAACAACGCCGAAAATCCTTATCCCCTGAACTTTAGCGCTCCCTCCACTCACTCAGCAAAACACCGCTTAACTCTCAGTGAATTTGAAAAGGCTCAAAGCTCTCTATGGGGTCTGCATAAGGACTACTTGCATTGCGCGTCTGGGGGGCAACAGGAAGAGCAACGGGGCCCTCTGACTGCAGCAGCTAAGGTGGCAGCGGGCTGTCGCTCCATTGACAACACTTTGAGACGTAAGCTTGTGGAGTTTATGCCGCTACTTGGGTTTTAAGATGTATGTACTACTCCTCCTATTCAGTATTTTAAAATACTGCATCTCCCTTTGGGGTTTGGGATGTACGAACTACTCTTTCTACTTAACATCTATAAAATGGTATTATTATTCAGGACCTGCGTAAGTGCCACCGAAAAGAGCCCAAGGCTCCATGTTGCTGGCGTGCTGCTGGCCTCATCTCCTGCTAAATACTGAAGGGGTCTTAGCGCCTCCGCAACTAAGAGGTGTAAAAGAAAACAAAAGGGCAACTACTTAGAGCGACACTTGATGACATGAAAAACAAGAAGACAGCTACTTCTTAGGCCAAGGCTAAATCATCTGCGCCCTCTCACGGCATAACAAGGGAGAGCTATTGTCTATCCTCTTCCGTTTCAGTTGTTCTCTTGAATATATACTGCATGCAATTGAGCTGCTTTCTACAACGTCTGCATGCGGTAGCACTAAGGGCGTGTAGCTGCCTATTGTACGCGCATAGCTGCGAGTTCTCCTTTGTGTCTAGACAACTGAAACCGAAAGCAACGATAGCTGAATAAATGCAAGAAAAAAAAAGATTGCATGCCACTGTATTAAGACCGTTGGGGCTGCGCCGCGGCAGCCTGCAGGGTTTCAGGCAACAAAAACACGGCGTCCCTGGCCTTTGCTGATAGCAACAAAGAGGGGCGTGCTCCGCGTTCAATAAATGAATAGAATATGCAATGTGGAGCTCGAGCCAACAAGACTAAAAACAAAAATGTAACTCAATAACAAACCCTGCAACAGCAGGGCAAAAATGCATGTCCCACATCCGTGTAAATAAATAAACTCTAGAAACGCTAATCAATCAAGCTGCAAAAATCAATGTAGTGCCTAACAGCTCAAGCTGCTGTTGCTGCTGGTGCTGCTGCTGCTTCTAGCCATCAGCCCGGCAGTACAACATGCTGTTTGCTGCAGATTCGGCAAAGACGTAAAAAACCGCCCAAGAGAACATAACCGACAAAGTCTTTGCGGGTGTACACAAGACAAGGGCATTATATTAATATTATTATTATAATATTATTATTATTATCACTATTATTATTAATAATAACGGGTGGACGGGGAGACAAGGGGCATGCACAACGGAGACAAGCAGTCTACGAATGAAATGTGCAAATGAAATAAATATAAATCACATATGCAAAGAAACACATGACGTCTGAAGGATGTGGGGGAGACAACAACAGAAAATAAGAGGGGAGGGGGCCTTAGAGGAGACAAGAACCGCATGCGCCCTCTGCAAAAGAGACAGCCACGAAACGGTACCTGCGCCCCAATAATAGGCCATCTCTTCCTGGATTGGCTCCGAGCAAACAAAACAAACAGCTAAGGAAGAAGCCCCTCTTGAGGGCCTACCAATCATTCTGCCTCTGCTGTTACGTTAAACAACTGAGGCCCTGAAAATAATATTGAACACGGGCTCTCCCCGCTTGCCTGAAATGCACGGCTGCAGTCAGGGGCATCCAGAGGCACTGGCCGTACCCCGCTGCTTCCGCTTCCTGATACAAAAGACATCAGCTGCACTCCGTCCCCTTCTGCTGCTCCACCTACCCCTGCTCCCGCTGCTGCTGCTGCTGCTGCTCCGCCTCCCCCACACACCACCTCCAGAGGGTCTCCGTGCTGCTGCTGCTCCTCTTCCTGCTGCTCCGGGTGCATCCCCTCACGGACAGGACCTTGCATGCCCTGCTGAGGCAGAAGCACCAGGCTGTCTGATATAGAGCTATCCACAAAGCCAGTACCACTCGAAAGGGCTGCTGCAGGCCCTTGCTGCTGCTGCTGCATCTCGCTGTTGTCGCTCCAACAAACATCTGGCTGCTCCCACAGAGACAAAAGCCTCTCCGCCTTCCATGCAGGAGGCTGCTGCTGCTGTTGTTGCTGTGCGTGCTGCGGACCGAAGGTTGCATCCTTTGCCGTTCTCTGCTGCTGCTGCAGCTGCAGCTGCTGCTGCAGCTGTTGTTGCAGCTGCTGCTGCTGCAGAGGCTGCAGCAACGAATTCGCGGGGTCTGCGCCAAGAGCCCTATCAAATACCGTAGCGCTGTCTTGGGCCAGTGGGTGTAGAGGGTGCTGCTGCTGCTGGTCTGGCTGCCACATGCCATCCTGCACTACTCCTGCGTTTGTTTGCTGCTGCTGCTGCTGCTGCAGAAGTAGCACGGCTTCTTGGGGTAGGCTGGGTTGTTGTGAAAGAATATGTTGAAGACTCCCGCAAAGCTGGTTCTGCGGCAGCTGCTGCTGCTGCTGTCGCTGCTGCTGCATGCCGTCCCATGGAAGCCGCTGCTGGCGCGGCATCCAGGAGTACAGTTGGTGGGATGTCTGCACCTGCTGTTGCTGCTGCAGCAGAGGCCTCCGCCTATGACCTTGCGCCGTCTGCTGCTGCTGTTGCTGCTGCAATTCCTTATGGCTATACCGTCCCTGGCGTTGCGAATGCAGCAGCAGCAACTGTTGCTGCTGTTGTTGTTGCTGTTGCTGTTGCTGTTGTTGTTGTTGCTGCTGCTGCTGCTGCCTGAGCTGTCGCTGCACACCTTTCGGCAGCTTCCGAGCGAGCGGCGGAAGAGCTGCTGATTTCTGTCCCGAGAGGTGGCGCTGCTGCACCAGTGTCTTGTTATGCTGCCCCAGAAGTCGCCCTTGCTGCTGCTGCTGCTGCTGCTCTCTCGCATTGACCGCGGGTGCCTGTACAGGGTAGTCTGGGCAAAGGGCCCCTCCTTCAAAAGCCCAGGATGGCCCCACTGCTGTTTGGGGAGGCGCAGTTCCTGGAATGAAGTTCGGCCCCCCCTTTGGCTGCTGCTGCTGCTGCTGCTGCTGCTGCTGCCGGTTGTTGTCGGTTTGGTGCTGGCCGCGGATTGCCTGTTGAGCCTTATCTTCCATGTCTTGGCGCGCCGCTATATCTAACAGATCCCTGTCCTGGGGGGCCCCCTGCTGCAGTGCTGCTGCTGTTGCTGCACATCCCGCTGCCGCTCCCCCTGAGAAGGAGAATGGAGACTGGCAAGGAGCAGGAGAGGAAGTGCAGGTGCTGTTGCTGCTGCTGTTGTTGCTCGAAGAGCTGCCCAAGCTGCTCCTGCTGCTCACCTCCCCTTCTCCCAGCTCCGCAAGAGCCCCCAAACCACAAGGGGTAGCAGCAGCAGCAGCAGCAGCTGCTGCTGCTGCTGCTCCTGCAGAACCTGTCAGGCCCTTCTTCGGGGCAGCTGCTGGCGCCACTGTGACTCCACGCATTTCCTCGGGGCCGTGCTGCAGCAAACCAACAAAACACGCAAACGACCATTGCTGCCGCTGTCACTAAGCCTATACACACACCTTTTGCTGCTGCTGCTGCTGCCGCTGGTGCTGGTGCTGCTGCTTCTGCAGGGGAGGCGGTGCTTACCGCGTGTCGGCAGAGGTTGCCCACAGCGCAGCGGCCCAGCTGCCACTTAACGCAGAGCGCCGTTTTGTAGACTTCCCTGCAGCAAAACAGCAAAGCCCCACAAAAAAGACACAATGCATGCGCGTGCAACGAGGCGGACTGCAGCAGCAAGCAGTAATGGAGCCGCAGCAGCAGCCCCAACGGCGTGCATGCAAGAGAGAAACAAGAAGTGCGGGAGCTGCCGATCAGCAGCAGCAGCAGCAGCAGCAGCATCCCCAGCAGCAGCTACTGCTGCTGCAGTTGCAGTTGCTGCTGCTGCTGCAGCAGGGGCAGCAGCAGGTAGTGCGGCTTACCCTGTGGCTCTGAGTTCCTGGGGTTGGTGAGCGTAGGAGCAGTCTCTGTTAATGCAGCGGCCAAGCTGCTTCAAACGCGGGCAAAGAGAAGTGCGGCGGAGGTCTGGGCTCGCCCGCAGCTCTAAGGTATTATGTGCAAACTGGCAGCTGGGGCCTCTATCGCAGCGGCCTCGGGAGAACCATGGGCACATCTTCGTCTGCATGCAGCAGCACACACACAAACACAATCTCCTTAGAAACTCCCAGCTAAACGCAACACCCGCATGCAAGCTGCTGCTGCTACAGCTGGTGCAGCAGCACCGGTAGTGCTGCTGTAGCAGCAACCCATGCATGCAAACACCAGCAGCTGCTCTTGCGGGCATAAGCAGCTACACAACACGCAAATAAATAGAGAAACTGCAGGTGCTGCTTCCGCTGCTGCTGCTGCTGCTGCTGCTGCTGCTGCTCTCACTCCACAGCAACAGCATAGACGGCCACTGTACATGTAGCGGGTGCTGCGTATATGCTGCTTCTTTCAAAAAAGACACAAAGATAGACATAGCAAGAAACTGCAAACTCTCTAAAGAAGGCTGCAAACCTACTTTGTAGAACTGTTGCTTCCGCTGCAGCAGAGATGAAGTCTTAGCAGCCAAGGAGGGCCGCCCCGGGACGTGAGCGGGGCCCTGCATGCCCTGCGTCCCTTGGGCTTGCTGCAGCAGCTCTAGTTGCTGCTGCGCACCCTGGTGTGCAGCAAATGGTCGCAAAGCAGCAGCAGACGCCGCAGCTGCTGTGTCTCCTAGCTCTGCAGGCTGCTGGGATGGGGAAGCAGCATTCGAATCCCCTTGCCCCGACGAGCCTTCCTGCCACTGCTGTTGTCGGTCATCGTGGAGCTGCTGCTGCTGCTCCTGCTGTTGCTGCTGCTGCTGCTGCTGCTGCTGCTGTTCATGGGCGCTGTCCTGCGTAAGCGGGCTCTCAATCGGTTGTGGCGGGTGAGCCCCCTTTGAAGAGCGACGAGAAGCCATTGATGCAATGGTGCTGCTGCTGCTGTTCAAACAGTTAGCACTGGTTGTGGGTGCAGCTGTCATTGGGAGGAGAGCTGCAGCTGCCGTCATTGCTGCTGCAGCTGCGGACGCCGCGCAGGTTGCTGCTGGGGTGTCTGTGCACTTCACAGATCCCCGCCACCTGCCAAATCAAACGCACGGCCTCGAGGCCTTTCCCCCTCTACAAAGAAACAACAAATAGAGACGTCTCTATTGCGAGAGAGCCTGGCTGGGGTTTGCGGTTCGTGCACTAGGCTTAGTAGTCTGGTGCAGCCCAGAGCTGGGGAGAAGGACAGGCTAAGGGTGGGAGTAAAAAGGCCCCTAAATTGCCTGATCGTGGGTATTTCTGAGGTCAAGACCCCGAACAAGCCACTACAAATAGAAAAGAGGAGATCTACTGGGAGCGGGGAGATGAAATGTGAACGAGAGGCAGAGAGGGTTGCTGCTTGGCGCGGACGTTTCACGGTTGGGCGCCGCTGTGTCCAGCGCCTGTGAAAAATAGTACAAATGTAAAGAACAAGAAATGCGCAAAGAAACTTCTCTCAATAACAATCAAAAAACCCGCTATCGGCCAACTAGTAGAAGAAGCCGTTGTGGGGCTGCTATGCGCTGGGCGGCTGCTAGCGGAGGCCCCTGTGCTTCCTCGTCTGCAGAAAGTAAGGCGGAAATTAAAAAAGGGCATATATCTTAAGCCCACAAAAAATCGAAAGGCACAAAAAAATGAACAGAGGCGCCCCCAGCGCCGCCTCAACCCGATCGCGCCTCTCGGAGCCCCGCAGAGCGGAGGGGGGCCCCAGAATCCAGAAACCAGGAACAAACACGTTGTGTAGGCCGACCCTGAGGGGATCTTATGTTTAATCCAGCAAACATGTACAAGAAATTATATTAATTCAATTCGAAAACATTCTATAATACGCAATATTCAAACAATCATCATGTGCTTCATTGGGCAAGAGGCCGCGTTACTCCACCTCCTACACCCGGGGTTTCCTGGGAGCCTCGGCCTCTTGTGCGCTGCTGCTTCTGGGTTTGCAGGGGGTAAAAGTGGAGCTTTCGCAATAAATATATTTGCCTTAATGTCTGTTCAGCTCCGTAGATGAGAATAAAGCACTTCTCCGACTCAACTAACACATACAAAGCTTCAGATCATAACAGGCCTGCTGCATCTCCTGTCTGTAATTGCTACGTATGCTTCTACTTGCGTGAAAGTTGGCTCCTGAAGGGAATGTAGGAGTTTTAGAATTGTTTTCGGTGTTAGTGCAGGCATTAGAACGGGGGTTGCGTACGCGCGCATGTAGGGTTGGTATGCATTAACAGTGGGAGCGCAGTGAGCCGCAACTGCGATGCCACACCTCCTAACCGTTCCCAGGCCCTTGGAAAGGTGTGCTCAGGGCTCTTAGAGGCTGGAGGGAGACCTACACCCTTTTTAGAACCCTCATCTCTATTATTTTAACCATATTCCAGCTCCCGATGGCCCTCGGCTACGGTAGAGGTTTGTTTTGTTACACTCTGTAGCATCAAACTGGCTAATAGGAGAAGATGCCAGCACACACCCCCACAGCTCGGTGGTTCGGTGCGTAGTGCTATACAATCGTGGAGCCACTTTTCCGGGAAAAAAGAGCGAGAGCTTAAGTTTTCTCCTTAAAATATTCGTCAAATATTCTGCCTTTTGCCAGTCCAACAAAAGGCTGCACTCAGGAGCTGCGCGAAGCAAAAACGTTTTTAGATATTAGCTTCAAACTGAGTCAAAATTCAGCTCTTTCTTCCAATTGTATTGTGGAAATTGGTCAGGGTCCGCGTTCGCCGCGGAGACGACCAACGACTTGCCGCCGCGTCGCATTGAACGGAAGGAAGCATAAGCTGCCTATCCTGCCGAAAATGCCTTTTTGGAAAAACAATTCATGAAGAATGGCTCCGCGCATGCCGGCTGTTCAGGCATGACACGCGCGGCGATGCAGGGCAAGTGGTCGATTTCCATGTTACTACGGAAATGTAATTTTGTCTCTGAAATTCGCACGAGGACTTACAGTTGATGTTGACTTCTTTTAGAAGGGGACGCATGGAAGTAGCGGCAGAATTTAGGTAAGGGCACTACTGCAATAGGGAAGCTTTTCGAGATGCACCGCAAATTAGATAGCCCTGGTCGGAAAGGGAACAAACAGCTGCAGAATTGAGACAGCATGCACTGAGAGGTATCGGCGCTTGGTGAACAGAAGTCCAGCAGTGGGCTCGGATATTCTATGCCATGCTTCATGCTGGAGAGATGCAATCCTTATTGGCTGAACTGCCAAGGGGTAAAACGGGAGAAAAGCTTAATTCTGTGTACTGCCTGAAAAGTGGACAAGCGCCTTTGCTTCCCAACAAAATGGCTACTAATGCGAAAGGAGGAACTCCGCCACACACTGCCAAGTTTGCCGTAAAAAGAGTCCGGATATTATGCGAGAATTGTGATGAGCTGGGAAGGAGCCAGTAAACTCAAGGTATGAGTCACCAAGCGCAGCCGACTTCACTCCAGTTTCCAGGCTTCCTGGGCATTGTACCACAAAGGTGTATGCTGGCACGGAGAGGAGGTGCCATGAGCTGCATTGCGCCTAGTTCCAAGTCCTGTTGCATAGCAACCCCACATGCGACCATACCCAAGCCATGTACTAATGAATGCAGCAGCATTCAGGCATCTTCTATGCACGCACGCTTCTCTCACTAGCCAGCCTGCACGCGCGCAGAACCACACGCTTTTGCTGTAAACCAAGCATGCTGCTGTGCTCCTTCTCTTCTTTACAAGCAACACACATCCTCGTGCGCCCTGCCGCCCAACGATGTGTGGGGGGAAAGAGGGAAGAAGAGAGGAGCGGTATAGGCGCCAGAGCCCACAGCAGGGAAAGAGAGAAGGAAAATGGCGAAGAGGGCAAGCAGCATCTGTCGCTGCTGCTCGTTTGCTGCTACTGCTAGCCGTTTCACGAGTCTATCTCAGACCCCAAAGCAGAATGCCTTATCTCGCCCCAGATCTGTGTGATCTTTACATGGGTGTCCGACAAGTTCCACTATGAAAATACGGGGTGCTTCCATCCTGCCTAGACCCCAGCCAGACTCCCACGAGTCTTGTAAGAAGAAACCGTGCCATCTCGAGCCTTACACTCAGAGCAGTGTACCCGTGGGACTTTTGTGGCAGAACTATGAGCACTGAGCTTGACAAGCAAGCGCGGCCTCAGAGAAGGAGGCAGACACCGATTATTATTGTCTCCCATGCAGCCAGGCTACACTGGGGGCCATTTAAACTGACGCAGTGAGCCAGGCTTCAGGTAAGAGTTCTGACGACGTCTACAGGCCAGGGAATATTTACCCAAAGGAAGGCAGTTTCTCGCCCTTGCAAGCAGCCCGTTTGGCACTACAACCTAAGCTATATTCTCGGTAAGCATCGGCTCGAGAGCGGGAACCGCTGTGCTTTGAAACACCTTTGGCAAACCACACTAATACTATGTGTAACTCATAAGCATTTCCAACGAAAGCCCCAGATCCTCGCGAGGGTAGGCGTCTTTGCAAAATATTCAGGCAATTGCAAAAGTATCGTTCAAGCGCATCAGGAATATGATGTGGAGCAGAATCGAGTATCATACGGAGTGTTAACTTGACAAATAACTCTCGCGAGAAAAATAAAGGTGTCTTCCCCACAATTTTGTGTTGTAGCGCTGAGCAAGCAGCGCTGCCCATGCGATAATGCTTGATTGGATAAAGGATGCTGCGGCAAAAGATCTAGAATCTACATCGAGCATCCCGAATTCCGAACTGCAGTGGTATAGTTCGGACATTTCATAGTTACTGCTGGGTTGCCATTCGTCAGAATAGTCAAAACTATGGATTGTGTGCTCCAAAGTTGGCTCTCCAGCTACTGCTAGTGAGGCGCAGCAGAGGAAGAGGTAGGTGTGTTACATTCCCGTGGCATGTCAACTGGGGACAAAAAGTTCCTCCAAGCGCTAGGCGTCCCGGTTTCCCGCCTCTGGCCTAACACGGTGTGCTTTTATCCCTGTTTTCAGGGTAGTAGGCACACCCAAATGTAAAATTCAGTTTAGTATGGTATAGCTCCCCGAATGGGGCCTCTGGCAATTGCTGAGGGGGTTGAATGGCCTAGTTTTAGCCCCTCCTCCCCCCTCTACTGCCCTTGTGCACTTATTGCAATGCCATATATGCAAGGACATACTCTCCTGTGGCTCCTTAAGCCACTTCTATCAGATGCAACTGTGCCACCTTTTTCCCATCACTTATGGGGGGCACGAGAGTCCTAGGCTTCCTTTTTCTCTTGCGGGTTTGCAGGGGCTTCCAGAGCTTCCCTAAGCTTGACGGTCATGGCACTGAGACTGAGGCATATCTGCCCAACTTGATGTGAAAGGGTTGCTGCCATGGCGAATGCCTTTACAGCAACGAACCCGCTTCGCATATCTGCAATAAAAGGCGTATAGGTACAGCTGATGCCAGATGATGGAACAGCCGCAGCAAGGACATCGAAAAGAATACAGCTGCAAAAGGCAAGAGAAGCCGCTGCTGCCAAAACCGCTGATTTGCTCTTGGACTTCTCCTGGAAAATGCCATGAAACGCTGCAGCCAAAATAAAGCCAGTGAAAGCTGCGGCGAGTCCCAGAAAGACAGAGTGGCAGCGGAGCAAAAGTCCGGCAAAAGCAGTAGCCTGCTCCCCCACGAGTGGCATCAGGCCCGTAAACGGTTGCATGCATGCTGAATCCAAAAACGACTGGTGCAGCAACACAAAAGCTAGGGGTAGAGCAAAAGAGGCCAAGAACAGCACCTGGCTGCCTCCTGCAAGCCACTGTCGTGCAGGGGCGGGGTGGTTTCTAGCTTTGCCTCGGCTCTGTATGTGGCGCATTGTCTTAAAGGCGAACCAAAGCCCCACCAAACGCGAGCCGTCTGCAATCAAGGGAAAGACTAACTGACACAATGGGGAAAAAGGTAATGAGAGAGCATGCCCAGATGCA